TGCCTTCTATGGGGGGAGAGGGTTTTAAAGGACCCTCTTTCTTTTCCCTTTTTTTTTTTTTTTTTTTTTTTCCTTTTCCAGATTAGCAGCCACATTCACATGCTAACAAACTCAATTAAATGTTGCTGCATTTTCCACTTTGGCTCTATAATTTAGCTTAATCTATTAGGGCCTCCTTTGATTTTTGTTTTCTAATATAAATGTTTCCATCAAAGTGAGGAGGGGACGTCGAGGACAGCGCAAAAGGGAAAAAGTCGGCGAAACTGTGTGATCTTGAGTGATGGATATTTAACATCGCCTCACTTCAGTTTGATTTGCATGAGAATGTCCTTTGTGAACAAAGCATTGAAAATAGCATGCCATATTTGATTAGATCACAAGATCTGAGGATCAAACTCGGGTGGTGTATTAATTACTGCAAGAACAAAGGCAGGGGCTCAAGTTATTGTGTGCTGTGAATGTACAATCACTTATTCTGCTTTCTGGTAATCTTCAGAAAGAATGGATACTTGTGCATAATAATAGGTGCATTTTGATGTGCACTTTTTAACTTGCAAACCAGAGTGGTGCTTATAGGACAACAGTGCGTGTACAACGTCAGGGTAGTGGTTGATAAAATAAATAGTTTCCATAATTATCCACAACCCGGAGTGTATAAATTGAGATAACTTCTCTTAAAATTGTCAGGAAAGGCTGAACTTTCTCAACACCTATTAACTCGGTGCCTTTTTGTTAGTCCACTTTCTGGAGGCAGGAGAAAAACAAATCTCGCCTTGTTTCTGAAAATGTACAAGCTACTTTTAAAACTGCTGCACAGCTAACGTGTCCTGTGATAAGACCCACTTATTGATTTAACAAACTAATTATGAAAATTGAAATCCGTGCACATACGGGTGGCAGGTTGTCAAGTGGGGGGAGGGTGGCTCTCACCACGGTAGCTTAGGGGTGTGAGAGATTCTGAGTTTGGACGTAAAGTAATGCAAGGAAGATATGCTAAATATTAAGCCAATTTAAAGAGCTTAAAGCTAAATTTGGTTAAACAATGTCAAGGCTGCAATGTTCCTATAATGGGGTGCCAGTGGTCTGCAAGTTTGGAACAGTCTGCTGCCTGTACCTGCATCACCATAAAGGGTTTTTGACATTATATTGTCAGATTTTGGGGGGGATTTAGAAGATAATTTTTCAAACATTTAATAGCTGATTCGTTTTACTCTTAACTTTTATTCATTTACTCTTTACCATGGCTATAAACTGTCCAACTTAAGATATTACATCAACATATATCAAAATACATAAAAAAAAAATATTTTGATTTGAAAAAATCAAAAGTTGAGTTAAATAAGACTAAACGATCAGGTATAATGAGTGTTCATGGAAATGGTGAGAAATTGTCAGATTTCAGAACGTATAATCAATTATGTTCATGTCAAAAAAAAAATGGTGGCAGTTTCTCCACTTGCTGCGTTATGCAAGACACTATCTATGAAAACAGACTGCCATAAGTAGATATTGCAAAAAGTGTTTGATAAAGCAGTGTTCTAAAAAAAAAAAATAAATAAGATTAACATTTGAAGCTGTATCTACATGTTTTGTATTTTTAGTGAAATGCTTCCTGCTGAGCCCCGATTTAGACCTATGTATTTAATGTAGACTTTACTCTAAATATATATGTCGCTAATATCAACTGTATGCCCCACTTTTCAGATTAAATGTGAAATAACTTTAGAAAAACCATGCATCTCTGTCCTTCCTGTTCATGATTATGCATTACTTATGTCCGAGTTCACTGTTTACAACCTTACAACAGCTTTAAAGTTTGCAAACCTCCTTCCCTGTTGAGAACTTTAGGTGTTTGTGTTTGGGTGCGGGCATTTTCTATGACCAGTTTGACATCTGACTCAGACTGATCCGTCCATCGCATCGTTCTCAGTTTCACTGATACCCTGTTCTGCCTCGGGAACTGAAAAAAAAAAATAAATAAATAAATAAAAACTTGTGACTTTGTCACATCAAATCTCCTCTGCTTTTGTCTCCCTTTGCAGTCCAAGAAAAGCAGCAGCTGGAGAAGGAGACGGGCCTGAAGATAGTGGAGGCCGGAGTGAGTGATGTAAGTGCAACTCATTGAAACGGCTGCTAAAAAAAAAAAGTGGTTGCCATGTTTGCGGTTTCAACTTCCTCCCACCTGCAGTGGTCTATTTCACACGCACATTTGTTTAAGGGAGCCACCGTGACTGCGGTCCCCCCGCCCCAATTGATTTCCTTTAAGTTTCTTGGAGCTGTTATCCCCGGAGTAAATATAAACAACAAGACAGAAGCCTGATGCAGTTTGTAAAACCTAAAGAGAGTGTTGATCTCTTGCAACAATGACCGGATTATCTCGAGTACTGTCACTTGTCATGATCCCCGATGCTTCGCTGACATATTCATTGGAAAAAAATTAAGAGGAGAAGGAGGAGGAGGAGGAGGACTCTCTGGATGATCCAGATGAAAGGAGAGCAAATGTTATTCAGCCATGATAAATATTCATATGTATCAAAGGTAAAGATCTAATCAAGCCCCCATTGATGCGTCATAGCCCTCCATGCTTGCCTGGTAAATGAGTTTCTTTATGTAAATGAGCCAGACAGCCTTAGACCTCTGAGCTACCCTGATCCTGAAGCACGCTGGGAGCTAAGTGGATGTGGCCCGTGCACTGCAGGACAGTTGCCAATGGCAACAACCGTCACACATTGCAAAGACAAGATCATTTCCCCCATGTTAGTCCTCTCTCTGTGCTGCTTTTCTTCGCCCATCTGCCTTCCTCTTATATCTTTTTTTTTTTTTGGTCCCGCAATTTCTCTCATCTCATACCACATTGTGTCTCTGTCATGTTCCTCATAATTATCTCAGATTTTGCCTCTTTTTAAAAATATATATGTATTTTTTAATGTATGACTTTTTGTTCTGGTCTTTGTCTGTCCCCTTTTCTTTTATTTCGTCACAGAATGATTCCTGTGCTATTAGCCAGTACTAGCTTGGTTCCGTGTTTGTCATATTGGGCCTATTTGTAGATAATTAGCTGCAATAATAGCCTCTCTGCAGGAGACAGTCTGAGGGAGGGATGAATAGAAAGAGAGGGAGGGGAAGAAAGGAAGAGTTTGTCTTCCACATCATGAGAAAATCTGCTCCCTGCTGGATTTTGTGAGATACGTATTTAAAGAAGCGCTGCGTTTATTGCTCTTCAAAAAGTGAGTTAGCAAAGTAGGAATCCTGAAAGGCCACTTAGAGGATGTTTTATGAGCTCTAATGTGCATGTGTTGACCTCACCAGTTTGCATCCAAGAAGTGGAGAGTTAAGGCTAAGTTGGGAGAAAATGGTAGCTTTTGACAGGAGAGCATGTGGAGTGCGCTCTCCAAATACATTAGTTTAAAAGGTGTTAAACCAAAAGCCCGCTTTCAATAAATTTCCTCTAAATTGACTGCAGTTATGAGTGAATTCATGCCATGGTTTGTAGAGAGGTGCTTTTTTATTCTGCTTATTAATGGCACGGATGGAAATACGCTGGGTAAAATTGCTCTATGAATCCATTACAGGTACCGAGCAGGAAATTAAGCCGTACTGTGAATTCTTTCTTCTGAGTTTGTATGAAACCACCACCACGGTAGTTTGTGTCATTAAGCCTTATCACTGTCAGCTCCCACACCTCCTTGGTTTTTATTTAAGAGGTGACAAATGACAGAACAGCTTAGGAAGATGTCCAGATAGAGCAAACGTCAATACTGGGAGATGCTCACGAGGATAAGCAAATGTCAAAGTGGGGAGGAGGGGACATCCGTCAATAAGCTAAGCAATATCCACTCCATTATAGATTACATGGAAGTTGGATCACAATACGATAGAAAGGCATTACTTTTCCTGCAGGGTACATGTGCAAGTAGGACATACGGTGTCTTTAGAAAGAAATCAGGCACACTTTCTCATATTTTTTTCACAGGTTCAGTCACAAGTATAGCTGAAAGAAACTGTGAACATCAATTTTCATTTGTGGAAAGAGATTCTCACACATATTCAGTTGGATTTAAGTCTGAAGTGCCAAATACAGCATCCCCTCTGTCCTACTATACACAAGTTGGCTGAAGCTACAAAAGCAACAATAACCTTAGAAAAATTACACCACTGTTAAGTTTTACAAATAACAAGATCATTTGAACACAATTTTATTTTAAATTTTTTGGTTTTAGAAAAAAGGTACTTGATGCAATTTTTCAAAGTTAAATTTATGGGAAATGAAGCGGCAAAAGGATGCGTAACTATTTCCAAACCGTTTGCAATGGTAAATGATTTGCACTTGTATTCAGTCATTCATCCATTCCCACGCTGATGGCTGGATTACTTTTGCAAGATAATTGTGGCAACACCGGTTCCTAAAGATCTTCTGACAACTGCAAGAAATACACAAAGAAAGACATGAGGAATAAAGTCGTGATCAATGTGGCTCTGCACTAACAGGCTGATCTGTATAGATTCAAACCACCCTGAAACCATATGTAGAGGACATGTTTTCAGACCCTCACGGCTCTCAGTTTGGGATATAAAGTCCGGCATGTTGTAGCACACGCCAACACCTCAAACATAATTGTTCCTAAACAGCTCTGCTGCTGCCCTTCCTGCCTCTTTCAGCAGCTGGAGACAGCAGCAGTGATGCTGATAGCCACTGATGGCGCACGGCTAGAACTAGCCTGCGTTAGTCTGTTTGGTTTAGTACTGTCAACCAAAATACTAGATGTTTTTAAAACAATAGTCCTCAGTTTTCATATGATATTCAATAATCACTAGTCTTGTTTTTAAATAAGGAGGGAATGACCTTTAAATCTTACTTAACGTTTGCGTGGTTGATATTTAATCAACGAAATCCTCGAGATTCAAAATTTGAGTCGTAATGACCACAAACTTACTCTGCGATTAAGAATCAAGTTAATGATTTACCCTAATGTGTGAGGGCTTTCCTCTAGATTAAAAATGCAATATTAAGAAAATGGTAATTATTTAATTGCTCTGCCAGTTTGATGTAGAAACTGGAAACTAATTGTGTTTTCTTTTACAACAATATACATTTTTTTCTAATTCTCGCATTCAGACATGCAGACAGCCTGCATGAGATGGTCCCCATGTGGTTGAGATGGTAGTTAAATTGAGATTCATAGACGTTTCGACAGCAGTCTTGTGTTCGGAATAACTCCGGCAAACTGCTTATGTGAAGAGGCATTTATTAAGCTCAGAATTCCCACAGCTGAATGCTGACTGATTATTCCACCGCTAAATTTAAATCATGTATGGCAGATGAAAAGCTTCAGTGCTGTGCATGCAGGACGTTAATGCATTTTCTCTCCAAAATAACATCAATATCGGTATTTTTTTGTGGTTGTAATATAACAATTTATATGTTTGTAGTATGCTTTTTCCCCAGTTTCTACCATGCCCTTTACAGACAGTCGGGTGATTTTCTCCTTTCCCAAACTCATATGTAAATATATCCATCTGTATTTTTTAGGAAACTGCAACTTCCACAAAAAGTGGTATGTAAAACTATTGGAAAGCAATCTCTATATTCTGAACAACACCAGGTTAGAAGTCACCTCATACTGTAGACTAAAAAGTACCTTCTACATTCTAAAAAGTAATCTTTAAGATCCATGAAAGCAACATTGATGTTATGATGAAAGTACCCTCAGGTTTTGGACACGAAACGTTATTTTCTTGGAAAGTAAGTGGTAACATATCGATAAAAAAAAAAAAAGTCCTCATGAGTCCTCATGTAAATTACAGCAAAGTGATCTCTGAAAAAGAACTCCTAAAATGTGTAAACTAAAGAAAGAACCAAGTTAGAAGTTACACCATAAAGCAGACAGGATCCCAAAACCTACCTCTGAGTTTAATCAATTTAGTAAATATGCCCTCTACATTCCAGAAAGTAAACTATAAACTCTTGGAAGTGACTGGAAAGTTTTGTGAAATGTATCAGGTCTTCGAAAGCAGTCTCTGAATTTCAGAAAGTAACCAGTTTTACTCTGGGCAAGTAAAATTCATTTTGAGGAATATATGGGGTGGATATATTTAAAATATGTAAGAGATTTTCATTTTTGATTCCAAATATTTTATCCCCCCATTAACATGAATTGGTTTTGTGATATTGGCATAATAACTGAAGTTCTCAGTAGCCTATACAAACATTATATTCCCTGAGCTTTTATTTTAAGATAAAGTTTTGTAAGAAAAAAAAAAATGAGCCTATACATATATATTTTTTAAATCACCATTAATTCACTCTTCTGGATATCTTCTGGTGGAAATATGATCATGCAGATTAGCATTTTGTTTTGATGGAAGATTTGTTTACCATGAATATTTATTTATGTGTTGTTTTATTAACAGGGAACAACACATGTTGCTTTCTTTTTATCTTACAAAGCTTGCATATTGTTAAAAAAAAAAATCACTTCAGCAAGTAACAGGCACTGCAATTTCCCCAAGCAAATGGAACAAATCATCTCAGCAGCAGCTTCAAAGCAAAACTACACGAACAGTTTCCTAACAGAGAGACGGGGCATGGCGACTCGAGTAAATAACCGTGACGAGCTTTACATGGATACATGTTGTACTGCTTTTTTTCTTTCTTTTTTTTTTCAAAATCAAAGAATCACAAGAAAGGATAAATATATTTTATGTAAATTTGAGATCTTTTGTTCTCATTCATTCAAGTTTGCATTTCCGCATAGGTAATAAAAGAGGTTTATTAACATTGCGAGATGTATGCTGTTCTTCCCGTGTCGTATCATGTGGAGTTTAAGTATTTGTATCAGCCACTCATTCTCACATTGGCCCCAATTGCCTTTTCCACAAAGACAATTTTCTTTTAGACACTGTAATAAGCCCAAACAATATAAGAATGGCTGTCTATAAAAATTTGAACAGTGCAGGAAGGCCAATCTGGCCCTTTTAAAAGTGGCTAAAATGCCATTACTGTGGCAGATCTGGATGTGAAATGTCATATCGGAGCAGCCCCACTGTGCCTTCAGCCCCGAGTAACGCTGCCTCTTTGGAGACTCCAGCTGTCTCCCACTGATGAAA